ATTTTTCTTAATATTGCTCCGGTACCCCTCAATTTTTCAGAAAATTTGATTTCTGCCCCTGCCGTACCCAAAACGCACCAAAGGCGTACCCATGCCGTACCCGAGCCGTACCCATGCCGTACCCAACTGAGACAGAAGTACCCGACTACTTTTTGCCGTACCCGGTACGCGTGCAGCCGTACCCGGTACGCGTGCAGCCGTACCGGTACACGTACCCGCACCCGGTAAGTACCTGGTGCGTGTACGGCACTATTTTTGGAGTACCCGTGCTTCATATGAGGTTGGGAATAAAAATAATTGAATCAAGGAAAATAAACATTAATATGGAAAATCCCTAAATTTTCATATAAACCCTAAGGGGATTGTTCATGAATTTGATGTAGTAGATAATTGATAAGTAGAATTGGAGAATCCTTGTGATTGTTAGTGTTGCATGAGAATGTACATGTTACGGAATGTGTTTGAGGTGCCAACTTGCCCGGTTCACGTGAGGAGGACGAATGTGGGGATGTGATTGAGGTGCCCACTAACCCGGTCTGCGTAAGGGCGGCAAATGTGGGGATGTTGTGAGGCGTCCACTAGTTGGGTCGTGTGGGGACAACAAAAGTGGAAGGGTGTGAGGCGTCCACATGCCATTCGTGTGAGGACGGAAAAAGTGTGAAGGTTGATCGAAAAGAGAGTTTTATAAAATAAAGTTCATTTTGTAAAGCTTAAACAAAATACAAATGAACTCTTGGACTTAATATAGGGCATGCATATTTATCTCAAATATTTATATATTTGGTTAAAGCTATTCTCTACTGGGTAAAATTACTCATTCCTATTTTCACTAACATTTCAGGAAATGAAAAGCCCCAAACTCGTTCAAGAATAAGAAGAAGATAAAGGCATTTCTTTTGTTTTGTTGAAGAAGTCTAATCTTTTGTGAACTTGACATTGTATCTAAATTATGAAAACTTTTATTTTATTATGAACTCATTTGATTTTGGATTAATGTCTCAATGTGGTTAGTAAATTAGAAGAATTATGTAATTGTTTTGTAATTTCTCTAACTCACTAAACAGGATTATGTATTATTGTAATTGTTTTGTAAACAAAAATCTGCGGTTCAATGAGAAAGAGAACATTTGTATAGAACTGTGTTGTGTATATGTGTAGAAAATATTCATGTTACTAGTTATGTAAATGATGTTTGGTGGGGTGTTACATCACTCACCTATTAGCTTTCAACAACTCAAAATAGATATCTTAATCCAGCCTAGAAGTCGCCTCCTACATGGCTCAACCAGCAAAGCCGCACCCATCCAATCTCATACTCGTATAAGTGCATCTGATCCCATATTCGACATGGTGGTTGACTCTAATACCAAATGGTATGAACACCTTGGGTAGAATATAACTAATCATTGAAAAGGTGCTTAAGAGGCTTATATTCACAAGGTCAAACCTCTTTTGTTGGCTATGTCTTTGTGTAGTAGAAGCATATCTGTGTGGTGGCGGTGCTACGAGGGGGAAGGGGAAATAGTTGCAGAAAAGGACTATGGTTACAAGTTTGTGATGCTCAAAAGATTCTAGTTCGACAGGATAATGAGATTCATGGCATCAATAAAGCTATAATCTGACAACTCACAATGAATGCATCAGTGGTACAAGATTTGCTTAATCAAGAATGGAATTATTTTTCCACTCGGACTATGTATCTACCAGAGGTTTTCCAGATTGGAGGTAATTTCGTTCATCTTTAGATGGGGAATTAAAGGTTAATCTTACCATTTAATGAAAGCCCATTTTCAAAAATACAATCTGGCTAAGAATCTATGAAACATGGGTACTTCAAAAAAGTAGTCGTAAAAGTAATCGTACCCATTGACGAACACGGAAGCTTGCTTTTTCTCCTCTGTGCCTTGAGAGTGGGTATTTGGTTAAGAACAGAGTTGCTATCTATGTTCTATAATATAGATGACCGATCTGACTTAGAGGGCTGACTTTTGAGGATGGGTATGCTTATTTCAGCCTTTTTATGTCTTACAAGCTTCTCATACAGATTCTAACTTCTTGTATTGACCTCTTCTTTGATCTAATAAATGATGTTTTCTTATTAACAACAAATGGAAAATAATTTAAAATGCACAGATGTCTGCACATAACTTTGGTTGCAATATATCAGAACAATGAAGCACAACTACACTACTAGATCATAAAAGCAAAATAGCACATTCAGGACTCAGTCACTCAAAACTACACAACTGCAGGCCATATGATTGTTGCAAAGACAGAAGAAAAATCAAGGTTCAATATGATGAAAATTCATCACAATTTATGAGACAAGGTTTATATGCACAAAAGCAATCCTAGTCACTGACCATCTCCCTAGAAGATATCTTAAAAAACCACATGGATGCCATAATACAAAATATTGCTAAAATTGCTCAAAAAATATTATAAATATACATACCAGGAACAGTTTGTCAAAAAGTACCCTTCACTATCATTACCGGGCATTGTGCATGGTTTGAGCAATAGTTGCTTACACTTCCCAGAAACATCCTGTTCAGAGACAAGAAATAACAGGTTTACAAACACATCACTCACATGTTTGCCTAGATTATTCGGACACCTCTAAAATCTGCATTTCAAACTAGTGGATTTACATTAGGCCACTCAACTTTCGAATAAACTACAATATTGTAGATATTATTTTGTCTACAACCAACTGGGGCTAGCCCAGTTGGCCAAAATCCCTACACCTCACTAGGAGATCAAAGGTTCAAGTGCCCCCAAACCCATGCTAGTATGCTATGACCTCCGATGTATCAAAAAAAAATTATATTGTCAAATAAAAAATGAGGTAATTGAAAGAAAATTTGGCCCCACTAAATACGTTCATGCTCCCAATAGGACTTCCACCCCATTGGTTATTGGGGTAGGTATGGTCTTAACACTTCTTGTGCTCTCCATGATTGGTCTCTATGTTTTTAACGTTTTCCCATCTATTCGATCTCTCTCGTTTCTCTCGCATGCTCATCAATTAGGAGATGATCTCTTTTCTTACTCTATTTCTCTCTAACTCATGGTTCACAGGTTCACATATACCATTTAAAAATTATAGAAAAGCTTAAGAAATAATTATAACGCACGAGAACTCTCTTCACTAAAGATTTTGGAAGAAAGAACAATAAATCTCAACAAATGAGAAAAACATTTTTAAAGCATCTCAAATGAAGCTGTCATGCATATTTTCAACTCTTTTTCTTTTTCACTCCCGCCCGGGGGGGGGGGGGCCCGGGGGGGGGGGGTTGCGGCGCGGATAGGACCTACGTCTACCCAAGGCATTTGTTGTGTAGATCCACATAGAAGGTTAGAAAAAAGAAATGATGAAATTCATCCAATGACAATTTATTTTTCCTTTTAAAAATATGAAAAAAAATTCGAGGTAATTTCTTAAAAAATTTAAATTTTATCAATATGTTAGTAAACTTCATTTTTAACTTCGATCGTCAATCAGGAAAAAAAATTTGCTTGAGTATATATAAATTTTGCCCCCTCTATACACAAATCTTGAATCTGCCTCTTATTTCAGCTCACCTCTGCTGGTGTGATCGGCTAAAATAATGAAGCACATATATAATTGGAAACTCTTCACATTCCAAAAAAGGAAAAAAAAAAATCTCACAACATTAGAAAACAATGAGAAAGGAAGGAAACGAGGGAAAAAAAAAAAAAAAGAAAGGAAGGGGTAGAAAATAGCATAGATCATGTCATGCTACCAGAAGTAGAGAGGCAATTCTAGTAATTGAAGAAGAAATGGTTGTAGATGACAAAAATCCAAGCATCCTATGTGGCATTTGTGAAGCGAAGTCCCACATTACGCAAGTACAAAAGTAATGTAAAGTATATCAGCGTGAAAGTGCCCTTCACCTTAACAACTACCTTTTGGGGTTGAGTTCTATGCAAAACTAAGTAACATGGCATTCGAGTTGGACTACCCACGGATAGATAGGGTTGTGTCCCTAGCCTGCACACAATAGGTGCTACCAAGTGAGCATGTTGCACGAGAGGAAGGGTGTTGAAAGAAGTCCCACATTTCCTAGGTATAAAAGTAATGTGCAATATATAAGCGTGGAGGCAGAAAGTTTTGGGATTGAGTTTTTCCCAAGATTGTATACCACCGGCATTATCATCTTACCATGTGGCACGCATTAGCTAGCCTACATTGCAGATGGAGATACCATCTGAAACTATTTTCCCTCATTTTATCTTCAATTGGAACCATCATAGGCCAATCATTCCATTAAATATACTGTTGTCAATCACTTTAGTGGAAATGCTCTCCTTCGTATTAGCCAACTATGTCAACACCACGTAATCATAACAACCTAAGGGTTCAATTTTTCAATCACTATAAAACATAAAGTTCTTACTATTTCTTAATCTAATTACTCAGAAAATATGAGGAAGAAGAACATATTTCTGTTATAGTTCAAAACTTCTTATTTTACAAGACCAAATACACTACCTTATATGAGATATTACAAACATCATATATACCATTATATGCCATTCATAATAGATAGTACCCACTTATCATGACCACTACATATTATATACATCCACTATTACCACAAACCACTCATATTCTATACATGCCATACTAGTCCTACCGACCAAACAACACTACATAATTCTATACATGCAAAAACCAACAACCAACTATCTACCACAACACCTATCATTATATACATGGCCAAACTATCATTTATAGATGCATTTAACACACAAATTTTCCAGCACTCCACGTCCACGCTGCCCCTTCAAGCTGGTTGGAAGATATTTCTTTCAACAAACCCAATAGCTCAGCTTGCTAGTCAGCTATTCAAATTGCTTCTTGTGTATGTGCTCTTCGTTAGCACATCACTAAATCGTTCACTACTGTTGGAAGAGTAGGTCTATACAGATTAATGCCAGCATGATTTTCTCCTTGATAATGTTTTATCCACTTCTATATGTTGGTGCGAATCATAGTAGGAACTGGATTAATGACTAGATAACTGTGTTGTTGTCAAAATAAGACACTTCATAGGTGTCGGGTGAGAAAGCTTTTAATTCTTTTTCAAGAATTTCATTTTTTTTTTATTTTTTTTTAAATCACGAGATCTGTCAAGATTCTATGGGCACAAACAGCCTCTGAACTCATGGCTCTGCAAGCTACTTCTAGCTACCACGTTTCTGTTTTTTTTTAAACTGCCGCCATGTACAGGTTCCCACCTACAAAGGACGTTATTCG